CTCGCGCGTGTGTAAACGCGTATGCGGCACATCGCATGATCTTTTATTTCAAGATATTTTTTTTCTCTCATTATGTCAGTAATAACAATTTATGTTCAGTATACATATGTACAGGATACCCTGAAACAATCGTTATCTCGTTTGCCTATGGATTTTTAGATCAATTAAAAACTAATGTTTTTCTCTGCAAAAATGTTCGATTGAATAGCATTTGGTTCCTACATCTTTTGCTCTCATAGAATATCTTTTTTATATTAATTTAAATAATATTGTTATAATTTAAAATTAATTAAAGACCGAATGAATGAAATTAAAAATCATGAAGCGCCATATATAAATTCAAAATATTATATTCTAGTAAATTGTTAAGAAATATATTGAATTATTTATATTAGTTTGTTATAATATGTGTACAATTATAAATAATTAAAAAAATATTATATATAATAAACAAAATGCTTAAGATAAGAATTAAAATTCAAATAAATATAATAATAACGCAATTGATTTGCGTTTCTAATTATATTAAAATAATTATATCGTATTGGCTGATATAAATTTTGCTTAAAAATTATGCTCTTTAATAAAATATAATTTAATAAAATATAATTTTTTTTAATTGTATGATACAGATTCATATTCAAATTTTATGTTCAGAATTAAATGCGGTCATATTTTCAGAACGATAACGAAAATGGCAACTGTTTCCGTAAAAAAAAATTGTATTTTCTTCAATATTTTCTTCTTTATAGTATTAAATATATGATCTGAATGCAGATCGTAGCATCGGCGAAAGAGATAGCGGTTAGTTATAGGCATCCCGTATATCGGTACGTCTTGGAACTAGAGCAACCGATATCATTTTATGAATCGAGAAGGCGCAGTCAAATATTACATAATATGTAACAATTGCCCTTCGGCTTCCGAGTCACGTAGGGATATAGGTTGTTTTAACTTCAAAATATCGATATGTATATGTACGAAAGTCTTCTTTTCTCTTTCTCTCTTCTCTATCTTAGGAAATTTCCGTTCTCGTTTCTGTTTTTCCGTTTTCCGTTTCGTTAAGTCGTTCTCGGCGCTCCCGGGCAGCCGATGCGGGCCTTTGTAATACGTGTCTTTGTGTGTGTCGACAGCTCTGGAATCGACAATAATCCGACGGTCTTTTACCACTTAATGCCCGGTTCCACGGCGCAGACGAACAAGTTTCATACATTTTACCTTCAGCAACGCGCCGAGCAATCGACAACTTGGGCCGACATTAAGGTTAATCATCCGTTGGACTACGAGAGCATAAAAGAATACAATCTCACCATACGAGTGGAGGTATGACACATCATTTCGTATGCATATTTTCGTAAGGAAAATATCTTCCCATAAAAAAGAAATCAAAAATCCTTATAGAAAAAATAGAAAGATGTGCTACCCTTGATTGATTAATAAATTTCTATCAATCTGTTACCTCTCGCTGTATTAGAATACAATACATATTTAAAAAAAATCGAAATAAATATATTTAAGTGTAAACATATTCGAAATTTAATATGATACGAAAAACGAAAAATCGGCAATCAGAAATGCATATGGTTTCGTAATCGCGATCAACTTAATCCCCACTAGAATAATGGAGCTCAGCAGTTGGCTTCCGAGGCAACCGTGTACATCATGCTGGAGGATGTTAACGACGAGATACCACTGTTCACCGAACGAGAACAGGAAACCGTACTCGAGGGTGAACCAGTGGGCAGCAAAGTCACCCAGGTGAACGCCATCGACAAGGATGGAACATTCCCCAATAACCAGGTAAATCAATATCGAGCGATATTACTTACTAAGATAAATCGACGCATCCTGAGATAGCAATTAATTAATTACGATTTAATTTTAAAGCGTGTGGAGAAGTTCCACAAATTTTATATTTCCTTTGATCTTTTAATTGAAAATATTGATCTGAAAATATAAACTGAAATAGACAATATGACACACAATAAATTTATACGTGTCTCAATTTTATAATAATTATTATTTAATTTAGAATGCGGAAAATAAAATATTTCCATTTTCTGATAAAATTAATGCCATTATTAAACTTATTTGTTTTTCTAACGCGAAGCGATTGCACTTGCGTATCTAATACAATCAAATTCATTGAAGAGATATAAAAGTATTTTATACATTCTTATTATGTTCGTTTATATTATATCAAAAACACGGTCAATGTAAAATTAGATAAAAAACCTAAACTCGGTTATAATAAAATGTAGCCGAGAAAAACGCATCACGTTCGACGCAGGTTTTCTCATTTCTTTTCCGTAAAGATCCGATTTCAAGTGGATCAATTGCTGGAAAATTGCGATGGAGTCGCACAAAAGAACCAAAGAACATACTTGTATCGCACTATTGCGGCGCAGGACTTGCTTGAGTGGGACTTAAGGGAGCTCAGTCGTCAAAGTCCTGATTGAGGACAGGCGGGGAATAGCCGGGAGTTAGGGAATAAAGGGGCGGTTGCAAGGTGCTTAGACGCATAGCCATAACTTAGACTGTCGCGTCGAAACTTTAATGATTTCATGCGAAACTGCGCTGCCGTCGTTGGCGGAACGTTATAAACTCTGTAACGGAGTAACGCAATTCCAACGAGCGTATTTGAGTGGCGTTGAATTTATCACGTATGATCGCATTAACGGATATGCCAGCAACGCAAATGTATATTGCGCCGACATTTAATCGCATGATTATCATTCGTTTTGTACTGAAACCGGGTTGCTACGCTACGAAATGTATTTTGTAATACCGATACAACTGCCGATTATAAACGCAAGTGCTGAACGTGCTGAATATTGCGAAACAAGCAGCTAATTTCTAGGACAAACCGCAAACATGATGATTAAAATGATACTCACACATCTGAATTTAAATTAAATCAATTTCTTCTTTCGATTTGAAACCTTTCAAGACTTCTATATCTTACTATATCAAGTTTTTATAAAAAAGAACCTTTTGAACTAATGTCTGATATTTTATAATTTAATTATATTAACTTCTTCGTCAATTTTTGAAAATATATTATACTCATTATCTTTAATAATTATATTTTTTCTAATGAATTTATAAAAATTTAAATTTTTATCATACAAAGTTAGAAAAAAAATTTTAATTTCTGTTTACTTATACAAAATTCTTTTCTCTTTCTTGATCATACATTTGCATGAATTTTATCTTATCTTTTTATATATCCCTTTTAAGAAAAAAATAAATAAATAAAAAATAAAAAGCCATTAGATAGAAAAAGCAAGTTACGGTTAGTGCGGTAAACTCGTCTTTTCTTCACCGAACAAAAATGGAGCCGTTTTTAACCGGGCAGCAGTGAAAATGACGCACGGTACAGTCGCTGAAAAAACTCCACTCCTGCAACGAACGGAAGTGAAGTAACTGTGAAATATCGTGAAATTTCCGGCTGGAAATTTACCGATTAGCTAGCGTGAGATATGCGTGGGAACTGTAAATTTCACCGGCAAAGCGCGTCAAGTCCTTCGCGCGCGAAGGATCTGTCAAATATGCACATTCTATTTGCGCGTACTATGCGAACGTAGGGTTTGTACAGAAATGCGCGCAACTGCCGAGAGACAAAAGGGACACGACGAATGTGGGACACGACCGATCCGACATGTAGTCGAGCGCGGTAATCGCGTTGCTGCAAACTCGATATCGCCTTCTCTCCGCTTCTCTTCGGTCCATTCTTTCTTGCATACGTTCCGTTATTGGCGATCGTGTAGCAAATAGAGGATTTTGTAAGAATGAAAAGCGGAAATTGTAAACTTTTTAACATTTACGAAAAAAAGAAACATAAAAAAACATAAAAACATGTAATTATGTAATACCGAAAACAGGTAATTATATAATACTATTGGAGATCCAAATATTGCAATAAATAAAAAGTGTTGGTTAAAATTTATATAAACTCTATAAGTATATTTTGAGATTTACTGAATATAGTAGATTATGTAATAAGAAATATAGTTAATGTCAACTTAATCAAGGTTTTCCGTTTCGCCTGTTAATTACGGAATTAGAAAGAAGTACAAAGGACGTTGGAAAGAGAACTATTCCATCATTACATAAAATTACACCGTCCTGTTCGGGTCACGGTAACATTGTTTGCCGTTTCATTAAGGTAAAATTGGAAGGCACAAAGTGCTGACGCGTTCGCAACTTGTCAGAGTAAAATCTTACAGCGCGAAATTCATTCAAATTTTCTTCTCTGATAACCATTCCAAAGTTTCGTGCTCTCGATGCCATTATACGATCCGGACGATGGCATTTTTATGCATTTTGCATACTTTATACATACATGCATTTTAATATATGAAACAGAGACTTTTCACGAATGAAGGTAGAGCAAGTCGGATTGCAGAAGAAGTCATACATTCACGATATACTGCGTGAGAATTTATCCCGAATAATTCAAACCGTCCTACTACTTTAGAAACATTAACGATTTATAATAAGTTATGGTTTGGTCAATTGGTTTTGAAAAAATTCTTATACATTTTCAATAATTTAAAAAAAATCCAATACAAGAAATAAGAATAATACAAGAAAAAAAATATTATTGTTAAAACTAAACATATATATTATTATAGAAAATGGAATATAATTGTGAACGTATCTACTATTAAAATGTGGTTGCGTTTATTTAATCTTTAAATATCACACATTTTATCACACATATATCACAGAATTCTAAGTAAATTACAAAATCTTGTTGATCGTAGCCGCGATTTAACTTGCAACAAGTACATTTTCTTTCTCATCACTAATGGCATATGACGTATAGTGCAATTATGATGTATGTTTTTTGTCAAGTACTTGCGCATGCGAGGCATAGATGGAGTCAATAAACTTCACATTATTTATCCAGGTCACATATTACGTGGTAAACAGCGATAGGAACGAGGGCAAGGATTTCTTCGAGATCAACAGGGAAACCGGCGAGATCTTCACGAAAATAATGTTCGATCGCGAGAAGCAGGGTGCTTATGCTTTGGAAGTGGAGGCCAGAGACGGAGCAGCTTCCGCACGACCTAACAGCAATGGCCAACCTAACTCAGGTAGGTAGTATGGAAAATTTTATTTAAAAGCTATTCGCGTTCACCACCGTATTCGTTGCCGCGCGCACGTACTAATAAATTTCGATAAATAATATATCATAGGAACAATATACTTATATTTAGATTCAAGAGCGACTGAGAAAATGTGCCAACTAAAAAATTAAACAAAGTTATAACGGAAAAAGAGTTTAAAATTATGAGCGCGTAAAGATAACTTATTCAGTGGATATTATAGAGTCAAATATGAAAATGATGCAACTTTTATGATACCGATGTTATGGTCATCATATATTATTATATGTCATTATATTCGATTCAGAAAGCATATAGATTTGCAATTTTTAAAATTTAAGAAAAAAATTAATTTATCTAGAAATAATCAAAATATATTCCTTTATATTTTATATAATTTTTTTAATTAAAAGTAAAAATTATAATGTTATAAATTTTCTACTTTTATTTTTTTCGATTTTTATATTATTCATATATATAT